AAATGGAACTGCTGGGGCAGGCGGAGGGTCTTTCTAGATAAGGCGTGTGGAGGAATGGTGGCCTCAAACTGGTGCTGAGGCTGGACTGGATGCTATTTAATGTTCTGGGAGAAGTTTGGGGGGAAATGGTCACCTTCCCAAAATTCCCCCCCTGGTCTGGGTAGCGCAGTGGCAATGGGGCTGGGGGCTCGATCTGACCCATGGAGCTGAACCAGCCAAGCCCAGGACCACCCCCCAGGTGTGGACTAAACACCTGCAAGGCTCATCCTGCATAAGTCACTCCCCAAGAGCTGCAGGGACCTCTGCGACCTGAGTTTGGGGGGAAATGGTCACCTTCCCAAAATTCCCCCCCTGGTCTGGGTAGCGCAGTGGCAATGGGGCTGGGGGCTCGATCTGACCCATGGAGCTGAACCAGCCAAGCCCAGGACCACCCCCCAGGTGTGGACTAAACACCTGCAAGGCTCATCCTGCATAAGTCACTCCCCAAGAGCTGCAGGGACCTCTGCGACCTGAGATTTGGAGCAAGAGAACTCTCCTAAACCCCGTCTGCACCTCTCCCCATCCTTTCTCCCTCCTCTGGTGGGACTTGGGGTTGGGGTTGTCCCCTCCTGCTCTGCCTCAGTGAGAGATGTCACAACACCTGGATCTGTCCCTTGGGGCTGACCCTCACCCCTCTCCTCCAGCAGATGCCAAAATGAGATGGAAACAGCTGTGGGACCATCACAAACCTGGAATCCTCCATCAGCTGGTGGCCCGTGGGTTTTCCTCTCACCTCCTTGGCCAAGTGGCCAGCATAGGGCTGGGGGGGGAAGTTGAGCACCCGAGGACCGGCCGGGGACTGTAGCAATGGGCCACCTCTGGCCACTGGGCTGTGCCAGCAGCAGGGTGAGGAGAGCTTGTTTGGATTCGAACAATCTATTTGCTTTGCAGAGAGACAAATGAACTGCGGATGGCGGGCTCACGTAAACACCGTGCTATTTATGGGAGGCGTTTGCTGGAGCATCTCACAGCGCATCTCTTCACACATCCTCCACCACGGGGAGGAAGCAGTTACCCCCTATAGGGCTGAAGCCCTAAAACCAGAGGCAGCACATGGGGTGGGTATGGTCAGGACAGGGCACCGGGAGCGGAAAAAGCATCCCCAGAGAGCCCCAAAACCCTGCACCCACCGTCTTCCCGGGACGAATGTCCTTGCAATCAACCTCTGGCTGGGAGCAGAGCAGGAAAACCGGCAGGTTCATCACGGGAGTGCAATGCGGAAGCAAACGCGGGCAGGTCCTGGCCTAATTGTATGCAAATCTCCCAAACACTGGCGATTAAAAAACCACTCCTTTTCCTTAGTGGGTTCGCAGTTTGTTTCCCCTCCCTGGACTCACGCCCCGACGTACTTAATTTTAGCAGCACCCCTAAAAAAAAACCACCTGGGTTATGCCAAAAAAGGAGCTGCCCCTCTGGGGGTGTGCCGAAGGTGGGCTAAGAGCTCTCCCACCAGCCCGGGCAAACCCTGCCAGCGCTGTGGCAGAGGCTGCAAAGATTGAACGAGCAAATGTGGTCGCTGGTGGTTGCAGGTGGTTGCGCAGAGCCTGTTCCTGACGGACGTGGCGTCATCTGCTTGTCCTCCCGGACACCAGGCTGGGGCTTGTGTCTGGAGAGTGTCGGAGATTCCTTAAAAACCCCACAAAAGGTAATTTTCTGATGAATATCAGGTTATTCAGGTCTTCCAGGCTCTTCCTGGGGTTTGGAAGGAGAAAATGGCCCGAGAGCTGCAACGGGTTGTGACGATGCCAAAGAAGCGTTGGATGATGCTGCTACGGGCAGATACCCGGGTCCATCCCCGGCGCAGTGGGATGAAGGAGAGCAAAGAGAGGACACGGTGGGGCTTCAATATTCCTGCACCGGCTTTTCCACCTCGCCGCCTCCTGTGAGACGAGGGCAGGACCGAACCTTGGCCACGGTGGCGGGAGGGAACGGCTCCGGGCCAGCGTGATGCACCGCGGGGTTTGGTGTGTCGGGGCGCGCCGA